CACCCATTGTGGACGGGGATGAGGTATCATTTCACGTCTTCATTTTCTCTTTGTTTCCTATTTCGGCACTAATATCTACATTCCGCATGTAGATTAATCACCAAAAGTTCAATTCCGTGTTTTGTGATTTCTTATTTCACTTTGTGTGAATATGAATCAAATCTTTTATCTTTTCCAATAGCCATATGGTCTTTCTTCAATTCAGTTCTCTATGGACCAACAAAATAAAACGGTACTCGTATAAGATCTGAGCTCGAGTACTCAACTTAATTTCAAAAAATGAGCTTGAAAACCTTTGTTAAATTAGATCTTTTCCTCCTTAATGTTTTCAAATTAAGTTCTCTAAAAAACAAGAAATAAGAAGTATGATTTTATGAAATCCCTGCTTTGTCCAGACAAATAAATAAATGTGTTAGAATGGTTCATTGTAAATTTAATAAGTTGCTTATCTGTATTAGTAATTTTCTATATATTATATATAATTTTTTTTATTTGTTATGAGATACTCGATAGAGCTATATTATATATAATTTTTTTATGAGATACTCGATAGAGCTCATCGAGTATCTCATAACTAGACTTGAACTTGACTCACTATTTCTATTGCTCCTCGAGCTCGATCAGAGCAAGCTCGAGCCAAATGCTAATCGAGTAGCTCACGATCTCAAGTCTAGCTACTTGGATCGGATCCATCCCGAATAGGGAGGATATGAGAGTTGAACTAATGACCTCAACTTAAACCATATCCAAACTTAAAAGGTGTTTTGGAGACACTATACTATAATATTATATATGAAAATTTTTATTATGTTATTTGTTGAGATGTTTTTGAAATTTAAAATCTTATTGAAGTATTTTTTTTTAAAATTAAAAAAAATTCACCACCTATCACTAGAGTTGCAAACGAATCGAGCCGCTCCGAGCACTTGAGTCAAAGTTCAACTCGAGTTCGGTCAAACTCGAGCGACTCGTTTATAAAGCGAGTCGAACTCGAGCATCTTAACTTAAGCTCGTTAGCTCGACGAGCCTTGTGAAATTACAAAAATATCCTTATTTTTATAACTAATTACTAAGTTGGAATTTATCAAAAGTTTCATTTCCAGAAGTTGCATTCCATTTCTAATTACTTCCTCGTATCTCTCTTTCCGTCTTTCCTTCATAATTTCTCACACAAACCCTAGCCACCGCTACCGCCACGCCAGCCCACACTTCATAGCCTAAGCCCTAAGTCCCGTATCTCTCTCTCTGTCTGTCTTTCCTTCACAATTTCTCACACAAACCCTAGCCACCGCACCGTCAGCCCACACTTCATAGCCCTAAGCCCCTAACCTTTCTCCGTTTGTCAGCTTCCTTTACATTAGTAGTAGTAGCAGCTAAGCAGCATTGGCGGTCTGACAAATAATAAGTTTTTGAATTGTCTTTGCTTGCTCCTACCATGGTAAGAAACAATGCATGTCCTCCTTCTTCTTCTACTTTATTTATTTATTTTTTTTACTTTCCAAACAATGTATGTTTGAAAAAGCGGCACTTTAGAATCTCCTTGGGGGATGTTATAATTTGATTGGCTTTTCTTTCCGATTAATGCTTTTTGTTGTCAATCTGTTATTTTGGAAGTGGAATTTGTATTTTCAGTTCTGGCTCTGTTGCTTGAATTTCCAAGGAGCCAGAAAGGGGCAATCTTTGTATGAAAGATTGAAGCTTGGGTAGGACTGTCGTTTTGAAACAAAAAGGGAAAATGTTTCCAACTTACAGCGGCTCAGGAATGCAAAAATTTACACTGGACCTTTCTTTCGAATATTTGGACAAATTAATAATATTTTGTTGCTACGTTCTTATTCCTCCACTTTGACCAAGTTGTTATTCGTCCCTATTTCCAGCCACGGATTTAAGGGGGGCTGGTGGGGCTTAAGCCCCCCCAAGCCGCCGGAAAACCCCCTATATATAGGGGATTCCGGCGGCCATTGGTTTAGATTTTGGTAATAATACTAACTGGAAGAAATCCCTAGTATGAAAGTCGTAAGGTGAAATTCTAGAGAAGAATTGAAGCGGGGGTTAATTTATATGCTAGTATATGATCAGATAGCTTTGGATTTGAGCGAGGACATCAGCATTGGGAATGTCTTTTTATACTTGGCCGAGTGAGAACGAGACAAGAAGGTTCCTGGCTAAGAGGATGAAGAATTCATGGGCAATATGCCAGCTTGATAACGCGACGTTAAATTAATGGATGGGTGTGGTGCTTTCATTATTTGGGTGCTTCTTAACTGGCCTGGTCCCCAAAGTGGACATTGACCTTTTGTATGGAATTTATGGCAATTGAGGTGGTTTCCAGTCTGTGCAGAATTGAGTAGTAATGCTGGATGGGCAGCCTAAAGTCAAGAAAGTTCCAAATATCCAGCTTTGTTTAGTTTGAGTACGTCAAGTCTTTGCCCACTGCAAATGGAACTTCTCAAAGTCTTTCCCATCCTCTCTTTTGGAGACCTTATTACATTTTGTGAATGAATTTGAAGTTTTAACAGTTATTGCTTAGTCTAAGTGGCATGGATCACAATTGGATCAAGACTGTATTCTGTACACAAGCTAGACACATAGTACATTGTAATGTTCTTTTCTGTTGTTCAACTTGTCATTATTTTTCTATTCCTGAGTAAACCATCTGTGTTTACTTTTCCTCTCAAGCAGGTGTTAAGCTTTACAAAGTCGTCATATTTTACCAAACTGAAAAAAAAATGCACTTTTAGTTCTCAAGATTTAAAAGTTAAAATAAATTACTATATCTAGTTCTCAACCTTAAAAAAAAAGAATTGAATTATTTGAGTGCAACAACTACCAATACTTCAAATGTTAATCAATAACAAATTTTTGGGTATGTATAATTATATGTTTTTATTATTTTTATAATTATTGATTCTAAATTTTACTTATTAAATATATTTATTTCGTCACAAAAAATTTTTTTTAATACACTTCAGCCCCCCCAAAAATAAATTTCTGGCTCCGTCCCTGCCTATTTCTGTACTTGCAGGAAGTTGTCGTAATTTGAACATCTTCTTGTAGTTCAAAAATCTGACGATTTAAACTGAATAATCAAGATCAGGAATTTGGTTTTGGACATACGTTTTTTACTACGAGTCCTTGATGTAATGTGATTCCCCCTGCTTTGCAGTTGACGAAAAGTTTTTTTTTTTTTTTTTTGATGACGACGAAAATAATGGTTTTGTTAGATAAATTTCCAAAAATTCGAGCTAACGAGCTCTGCTCACGAGTCAAAAATTCGTGCTCTCAATTTGAGCTGCTCGCCAGCCAGAATTCGAGCTTCAACTCGTGAGCCTTATCGAGTCGAGCTCGAGCTCAATTCTATAGGCTCGTCGAGTTTGAACTCGAACTCGAACCCACCTATTTTTAAGACGAGTTCGGCTCGATAAGTCCAAAACCAGACTCAATTCGATTCATTTGCAGCCTTACCCATCACCCCTTCTCTCCTCCCCCCACCTCCACTATCACCCTCCTCTTTCCTCCCCTCCTCCTTCCTCTTCTTCTTTCTCTCCTCCCCTTGTTCCTCCTCCTCCCTCCTCTCCCTTCCCACCACCCCTCCCCTATGTTTGCATTTTTTTTAGAATTTTTTGTAAGTTATACTTGAGATGTGTGTTTTTGAATTATATTTAAAATTTATTATTGTAGATTCTACACATAAAAATAGTTTGTAAAAAACAAATGATAATCCAAACAGAGCCATTAGTTTTTGTTAAGAGAAAATCGTCCAAAACGTCCTTCACATTTTGTAAAATAACTTTTTTCATCACTCACTTTTAAAAGTGTAATTTTATGTCCCTTACATATTCACATCGGTCAAATTTAGTCCCTAACTAGGTTTCCGATCATTTTTTGGCCGGAATCCATCATGTGCAAGGCACGTGATCATTTTTGAAGGGTAAATTTGTCAAATTATATTTTACATAATCTGATCTATAGTCCTCCACATTTTATAAAATAAATTTTTTCATCCCTCACATTTTATAAAATTATTTTTTTTATCCCTCACATTTCACAAAATGAATTTCTCCATCCCTCACATTTTAAAAAATGAATTTTTCATTTATCACTAATTATGTGTGTGAATACATTTTTTTTAAACACATGTATATGTTTATTTGATTTTACTTAATAATAATAGCATAAATACATGTATGTAATTGGGTCCAACTTGTGGGCTATCTTCTATTTTTGTATGATTATGACTAATATTTACCAATAGAACCTTAATTTGCATATTCTTATTGTATTTTGACCGAAAATAGTTTTATTGGCCAGCTTGACAATGAATGCAAGATTTTTTACTAGCTAATACCATATGAAATCAAATGATCACGTATAATATATGGTATTCGTATTGTTAAGTGAAATCAAATAGACACATACATATATTTATGTTATTCATATTATTAAGCAAAATCAAATAGACATATACATGTGTTTAAACAAAATGTATTCACGCGCATATATTTTTTTTAGGGTTTCCCTCACGCACATAATTAGTGAGGGATGGAAATATTCATTTTTTAAAATGTGAGGGATGGAGAAATTTATTTTGTGAAATGTGAGGGATGAAAAATATATTTTATAAAATATGAGGGATAAAAAAATTTATTTTATAAAATATGGAGGACTATAGATTAGATTATGTAAAATATAATTTGACAAATTTACCCTTCAAAAATGATCACGTGCCTTGGACGTGATGGATTTCGGTCAAAAATGATCGAAAACCTAATTAGGGACTAAATTTGACCGATATGAATATGTAAGGGATATAAAATTATATTTTTAAAAGTGAGGGATGAAAAAAATCATTTTATAAAATATGAGGAAAAAAAATGCTGGACATGACCATCTATCCAGTATCCAGCGTTTTTGCAGTTTCACCGGCAACAGCAAAGTGCGATAGAAGGCCCAGATTGGGCGAGCTTGGCTCGGGCCAACTTGGACCATTAATCTCAAAATTTTGTAAAAATATGCTCAAATATATTAAATTTAGTATTTTAACACTTGAATCACTTAACAAATTTAAATTTAAATTTTTAATTTTCAAACTTCAATCTTATCAAAGTATTTAGTGATAAGTTGAATCTAGTCGCGCCCTATTTTTGATCTATGGTTTGACCGGACTTTAGACCTCTGGATCGAAAGTTGCGGGCCTCCTGCAACGGAATCCGTGGAGCTACAAACCAGGACAACTACGTGCGACTAAGGTTAACAAACCCGGACAATTACGTGCTACTTACTTAATAGTTAATACAGAGAGCAGGGGATGCTAGGGATTGGTCTGTACGACATTCCAGAAATTTTTTATCAACTCTTTGATCCAGCATTATTCGCCGCCAGGGATCTGTTTTTGTTTTTAGTTTTTTTTTTTTCCTCCTGAAGAAGCAAATGAAGAAGAAGAATATTTAGTATGGTGTATCATTTTGGCAGAATTTAACACTTAATAACATGCATTTTTTTTTTATTCAGGGGGAACATGCATTCTTACATGTACAAAAAGGCAAAAAAACCACAATTTCATATACAGATCTCTGTAATAGTAGTGCTAGTAATCAAATTCTAGGAGGCTAGCAGCTAGATATATGTAATATACATAAAAGAGAAAAGGAAAACGAAAAAGAAAGAAAAATTTTTGAAAATTGCTAAAACAGAATAAGAGGGAGGCCGGGGGCTAACATTGGGCTTGCAGGATCTTATTAGTTGACGGATGGATTCTAGTACGAAAAGTGTGCATGGATCAGGACTGAGGAAGAGGGGATGTGATGTCGCGAGAAGCACGAGGAGGAGGGGGAGGCGGAGGCGGAGGAAGAGAAGGAGAAGAAGAAGCAAAGGGAAGATTACGGAGAATGAGAAAACGAACCGCGGAGGGAAGGGGAGGGGAGCCTGGTTGAACATATGCTCCAGCACCCTAGCCACCAACACCGTGTACTCCTCCAACAGCTCCGCCACTATGGCCACCAGTATCATACTAGTATCAGCAGTTGTATTGTGTACCGAATTGCGAAACAACTAGAGTAGAATATTAGATAATTATCCAAAGATCCGAGGACAGGAGTCGTGTGGATTATGAGGTGGAGTTGGATGTAGGAGCAGGAAGTAGAAGCAGCTTAATTCCAATTGAGAATTGCGACCGTCCTGGGAAATTCCGTCTGCGGCTCCACCGAACTACGACTACTAGTACTATATTGGGGTGTGGATTGGGGGACTGCTAATACTAATAAATATAAAAGAAAATTACTATGTATAAATCTCAGTCCACTTCCAAAGCCTGCCTGGGATTTTATATCAGTAGGAGTATATGTTTAGGAAACGTGCCATGGTGTAGCAGTAGCAGCTACGGCTAAATCCATGGGCTGGGCAGGGCAGCCGGAGATGGTAGTGGTGTGGCGGTATTCAAATCCATGTCCTGCTCCCTTTTTTTAAATTGGGGATGGTGGGCTTCTAACTATCTGTCCGCTGGAGCAAGTAGCAGTAGTCACTCCGGAATTTTCTAGGTCGGGGGGTGGGGGCAGCGAAAAATGTAGTATAATTTATTTATTATATATATATATTGGTAGAATATGAATGGATCATAATTAGATTAGTACGTAATTAGTAGTGCATCCGTGACTGCTGACTGAATATATTGTGTTGTAGTAATTATCATTATTTATTATGGCAATGCTATCCATTGGGCTGCGGTTGCTAATCAGCATTCAGCGGTAGTAATCCCTATCCGCTAAGAAAGCGAAGCGGACCCCCCAAATTTCTGACTTCCTTTTTTACTCATCCCTCTTTTTTGGCCTTCTTCTCGTTGGAGTCCACGTGCTTCGCCGTTCGTCCTATCTCTTCTCTTGACAACAAGAACTTCCATCGCATATAAACACAAAAAATTCGACGTCCATCCATGAGTGCTGCACCCTTCCCCTTCCTCGCCCTCTCCAGTTAGATTCTGTTCAATTCACTTCAGTTATTGTAATCTCACTTCAATTGAAGTTGGTGAAATCTGCATGGATTGAAGCTATATCTAATGCAAGCATTTCTCTCTCTCTCTCTCTTCTTCTCTCTCTCTCTCTCTCTCTGCTCGGTTTGATTAGTATAAATTAAAATTTATATAAAAATTTCCAGTTACAATAGTTTGATACAAGTTAAGCTCGATAAAAGCTCATTTGATTCGATAGATAAACAAATCAATCTCTAATACAATTTCAAACTCATTAAATTAACCAAGCAAACTTGAACCCTGAGGCTATGTTTGAATTATAATTTTTCAATTATTTTTTTAATTTTACATATATCAAATCACTGCAGTACATTCTTTTAAAAAAAACTCCTATAAAGGTGTTCGACTTGTTAACTTGCATTCGCACCATTATAAATATTAAATAGCACCCTCCAGAAGTCTACAAAAGGAGGAGAGTTTTTTTTTTTTTTTTTTTTTTTTAAGCGGGGGGGGGGGGGGGGGAAGGGGATATATAATAAATTTTTCACAGACAAGAAGTACAACACAAAATGGAGCTACATGTTTATAATTATATAAAGGTGCAGACGGCAGACCTTACAACCCAATCTAAATGGCTCAACAACCAGCCTCCAGAAATTATTTCTAAAAAGGAAAAAACATAATGCCTACTGGATGTACATGAACAATTTCAGATGTGCAATGCAAAGAAATTAGGGCATTTCCATAGGAAAACAAACAATATAAACAGGACCATCACAAGATACATGCTCACGCCATAAACTGTCAAAGAACCGGTTCCGCTGCTATCACCCGGTGGCCTCAGAAGAAATTTCTTCCATTTCACTTTGTCTTTCTCATCAGCTTCTTTATTTGTCAACGCAAGTCCAGCTTTGAATTTTCGCGCACTTATTCCACTCTCACTGCTACTGCTTCCCCCTCTGGCTCATCAGATGTGCATGAAGATTCGGAATACTCGTCATCCTGCAAAGACAAATGGAAACAATAAATAGACAAATTCTCTCTTTCCATGCCTTCTCCAACCCAACACATTTTGCAAATAGCCAAAGTTCTTTTCCCTGAATGTAAAACGAAGACTAACTAATTAGCAAATGTCTTCCTAGTCAATGGTCACTCTGGGTCAACCCTCGCAGCAGCATGGCTTTAAGGGTGCTAGAATTATTCCAAGAAATTCAGCTGATTATAAGGATCTGTTTCACTTATCACTAATACTTCCAGAATCAATAATTAAATCTCACCTCAGTTGTAACCGAGCGTTCGTCTTGTTCTTCATTGCTAAAGCCTTGGCCCTGCTGTATTTCCCATCATGATTAGCGATTGGAGCAGAATCCACCTGCAGGCGGAATCTCCTTGCTGCTGTGCCTTGTTTGGCCAGGTTTTCACAACCTGGTCGATTGCTTGCCTGACGTCTATGAATCTTGATTCCAGTTCCTTCCTGATGATCGCCACCAAGACTGACAGGATCTGCATGGTTACAAGATTGATGAGATTGTTCAACATTACCAAAAGCATCCACAATACAACAGGCAGATAACTTGTCTTACCGGCATAATGATCATGAGATGCACCAACATCGTTACTCAGTCTGGAGTCTGCATCACGAATTGGTGCTTGAGACTGGAAGGATCTTGGACATGTAAGAGTCTACAGATATGCCAACAAACAAATTCAAGCATTGGATGATAAGAACAAATTCAAGCATTGGATGATAAGAAGGTAGTTATCATCAAAACATAATCTGGGACAAGCAAAAGTTGCGTTGAAGTTCATCAACCCCAATCAAATAATCAGCAGTGTCTAATCTCTCTTCTCGTTGTCCATAACCAAAATAAATGCTCAAGCTTACCCAAACCAATAGCATGGTCCAAAACAAAACTTGAAATTAGCAACTGAAGGATCCGCCAAAAAGAAGATGATTATGTTTTACCTGTTCTATGACCATATCTTCGCCTGCCTTCCCAAATGCACCCCAATCCCTGGGATTGCAGTTTCCAGCTGGCCCTTCATGTAGCTGGTCAGGTAACATGCTCCTGCTACCAACATATAGAAACTTCTCACTTGTTGACTCCTTACAAGGATATGCATCATCATTCTGAAGGACATGCAATAGTTCTGTCAGAGAAACATCTTGTTCCGAGGTGCCATCCTGAAAGTGCATCCCCTTCTGATCGCAAAATCATCAGCAAAAGGTGAATCAGGACATCCTATCTCTGTGTGATTCTGAGACACTAATGGGGAGAAGACCTTGCAATCGAGACCATCTCTGGATTCATGACACATTGGATGTCCTCCAGTAGTTGGATATACCTGAAGTAAACAGCAGGAACAAAAAACCCCCGGACTTGAAGTTTCTTGGACATCCAGATGAAAGCTTTCTCAAGAGATTTCAGATAATAAAACAGGTTTCCCTTACCTCTGTAATGGCTGCTTCTATTAAGTGATCTTCAACATCTGACGTGCAGCTTTCAACATGCAGAAGACTATTAGAGGTCACATCATCTGATTTATCTGTCAGCCACCTCTCAATACCAGCTGGTTGCTTGCAACCTGCATATCAAGGATTAATCGTTCTTGAAACAGATCTGATGATGCATCATCGGGTGATGACTTGACTGTGTTTGGGGAAGAACCACTTGGTTCAACTTCATCATATTTAGAACTGTCAGCCTTCTCATCAGGCTTATGAAATAACCGACAGAGGACATAGGCAGCCTGCATCATGTTAATGAAGGAAAAATGTATGAACAATACAGACTAACAAATAGCTAAGAGAGACGCAATAACAGCAGCCCAAAGGGTTAAGAAACCAATACAAAATCAGTAAAGATCCAAAATTAACCCTCCAACAACAAAAGGGGATAAAAGAAGGGACACAGGTCAAAAAACAGAAGTCAATTCTGTTTCTTTGTCAATTCCGTAAAAAGAAAGTCATGTTTTTTTCTACACAAATATGAAAATTCATTTGCTGTACCTTTTTTCTAGGCATTTTCTTAGTTTAGTTTTTCTCCCTCTATTCTTTCATGGAGGAGCTTTCCATCAAAGAAATCTAATTGAAAAGAAGATGAGTAAAATTCACTATTGTCTCTAATATTTGGTCCCTAAAGTTTTGCACAGAATGTCATTCATACTGTTGCCAACATGGCAAGGGAATCGCTAGAAGGAGAATCGTACTATAGACATTAATGGATATAAACAGAAGACACCATCTACTTTCCAGTCAACATCATAATTCTTATTTCTCGATGTCAATTGCAGTGATGACGAGGAGGAGGGGAAGGAGGATGAAGGAGGGGAAGGGCAGAACTTAGTATAAGTTTCCTTTTCATAGTAATTACGCATATTTGATGAGTAGTCCTTCAGTGATCCAAAATGAGAAGTTAAGGAACAAAAGGTCTATTTGCTTAAACTTAAAAACCTAGTTAGTTAATACTCAAATCAAGTAGGACCACAAGTGCAATTTAACCTTAAAAGGTCAAAGAACGTCGTACATAAAGCTTCACTGAATTAGAGTATTTATGCCACAGTTATCAATTGCCCTAAATTTTTCTCCACCATCAATTGTGCTATCCATAAAAGGAAAAGGACTTGGTGGTAATAGTGGTACTCATAGTGGCAGGGTGGGAATGATGATTAGTGGCATAAACATTTCAAAAGGCTATATTCTATCTTGAAAGGTATATCGGATAATGTTCGAATAACATAGAAGAACCAAGCACTTTTAAGGTAGTGAAAATGGCAAAGCTAATTGTCCTTGGGGTCAGATCATGACACTCAAATATGCAAAAGCAATAAACAGACAGACGTATAACTACTAATCCCTAGAGAAAGCTATTACTGCTACAACCACATCATGGACACCAAGAATTGTTGCTTTCAGATGAATTGGCTGCTCTACTAAAACTTACTGAACAGGGGCACAGCTCTCAATGCGTTTGCTTTAACCAAGCATGGGATGTAACTGATAAAGAAGTCCTCTATTACCCCAGCACTTCAAAAAAACAGTCTAGATCAGAATGTTCCAATCAGATCCTTCAGAATAAAGTGCAGCTGAGAAACTTCATACAGAAAACAGAAATGGTACAGCTGCCTAACATGCCTCTCATGGAGGACCACTCCAAGGTCACAACGTAATGACTCTTGGAACATTAAGAGCCAACCCAAAGAAGAATATCCTTTAGCTGGAAATTTAGGTTGTTGCGGCTCAAAACTAGAAGCAAATGCTCATAAAAGCACACCTAAACCTCACAAGCACAGCTGGCTTATCTAGTAAAGAGAGTGAACATCCATATAAGTCCTCACTTTTGCCAATCAGCTACAGAATTCATCCGGGTCACTATTGTCATAAAGTTTGTTCAAATGATCAGTTAGTGAACTCAAAGTACAGCATGGACCTGTAGCTGGGTGTCAATGTACATTATTCTTCCAAGAAAGATACTCCCCCTTCATGTCCTTTGTAGTGTGCTCCCAATTCTGATTTTCTACCTAGGGTTTAGTTGTCTACCCTTAATTGCCAACAGTCTCTACACCATATAAAATTAAGCTTATATGGTGCTTCCTACACAAACCACACATCCATGCCTCAACTATCCTCTCATTCAAATTAATATCTCATCATGATTAAAATAATCTGCTGAACAACACCCAGTGTACAACATGCTTAGATAAAATCTCAAAAGGAAGTCACTGAAGCACTGGGAAGGTAACTTAGCACAATAAAGAAGAATAATAAAAACAGCATGAAGAAGAACTTAAAACAAAATTTTAAAAATAAATAAATATAATGATAGACCCATGCAAAGAAGAATGACCCAACACCCTATGCAAAATTAGCATAAATAAAGATAGACCCGTAATCCTATATCTCCTTAGGAAAATATCATTTGAAGTCCCATTATACCTTCTGGACATTCCATATTAAAAACTTAAAACAATATTCAAAGAAATAGAAAAAAGAAATTAATGTGAATGGTGCAAGTTAAAAAGGAAAAAGTATTAACTCCTATTGATTACTGATTGGTGCATCAAACCGAAGCACAATGGAGTATCTCTTTCATTAACAAGGTCCACAGGTTAAAATATTTAGCATTAGCTAAGGTGATGAATGACGGTATAGTAGCTTTATTCAGCAAGTAGACTTTTATTCTAAAAAGAAATAAGTAACAATTACGACAACATAGTAACAACCAAACTTTCTGAGCTAATTAAGTAAAAAAAAAAAATTGTACAAATACACTGATACAGGAAGGAGCGTGTGCAAGAAAAAAGAGGAAACTTCAAACCTGGCCAGAGGCAGTTCCGTCAAGATCCGGTTCAGTGGCACGATATTCATGCATGATCCAATGGTACGCTCACCCTTAGGAGCACGACCCCTGTAAAAACAAGAGTCTTCTTCATGCCAATTAAGTGGGTGCTGAGTTACTAGAGGGAGACGATCTGTGAGACTTAATGGTACGGTCCTTGCCAGTTGCTTTCCAGTAACCAGCATCAGTGGCCCTGTTGAGCGATGCCCATTTGGATACTTCCTATCGCGTGGACAAAAGAAGAACCATTCTGGATCATCTGTCTTTATGACTGAAAGCTCTGTAACAAAGAAAAAAACGTTTTGACTTGCAAGGACATGAAAGACAATGACACTACAGACATGATTCAAATGGATGAAATTTCTTGTAGTACATAAAAATTGCCAAAATTTTGCTAGTCGGTAGTGATCGCGGGAAGTAATCAAATGCAGACGTGTAAAATGATTTTAGAAATGGAAGAAAAGTTTGGTGAACAGAAACTGAGCACCCATACACAATCCTGTCTTTCAACATAGCAACATGGGAAAGGAACGAGTTGACTCGAACCAGGAAAGACACAAACTAGTATAACAAGGAAAAAAAGGAGAAGAAATGAACCTTCAGAGAAAAAGTTGTAAAAGCCAGACAGGGGACGACTAATTAATCAAGCATGGAAGAGGAAGAGAGAAGAGTCCCTCAGAATAATAGCACTAGTATGGTTTAGAAGAAACTAGCAACAAACAGCAGAGCATGGAAAGGTTAGTGAGAACCTAAAACAAGGGAACAGCATACTAGATAGAGCTCGTATTAATTATCATTCACGAGTGGGGAATATGATGTTGCATCGAGAAAAAATGCATCTCGACGAGAAAGAGCCAGCACGCGTGGAAAGACAAATTCCATAGGAATAGGAACAAAAGAAAGAATAATAGAACAAATTCGGGAGCTATAACTTTGGAATTTATTTCCCCTACCCCCCCCCTTCCCCCGAGAGATGGATGGATAAAGATGGGGCTGCATATTTGTAGCAATAGTTAAGAAGGATTAAGTAGTAGTTGTATGGGTTAATTTTCGAGGTGGGGAAGTTGAAAAACATAAAGCAAAGAAAGAAGATGCCCTGACAATAATGAAAAATGGGGAAATTGGGGTTAAAGAAAGGAGGTAAAGAGGGGGACGAAGGAGAAGTAGCAAGGAATCGAACTTTTGTACTTTAAAAAAAGAAAAGCACATCATCAAAGTCATAAATCTTCTAGGAAAGGGAGAGCAGCGAACCAACAAACAGAGAAAGATACGAGTGTATATATACATATAGATTGAAGGATAAGGTAAAGCTGCTAGGGTAGTAGTAGAATCAAAGGAGGAGGAGGGAAAGAAAGGAGGAGTAGTTATTGAGTTAGGAGGACATACGAGGCAAATCCCAGGGCTCCCACTTGCAGACGTCAACTTCGGGGATGACCTGAACCTCGTCATGGCGGCCGTTGATTTTGAGCCTCAGGTAATGGTTGATGAGCTCCTCGTCGGTGGGTCTAAATCTAAACCCAAGCGGTAAAGATTCCGTCGACACAACACCCATAATTCAGAAAACACAACGAACGAACGCTCTCTGATAACTTGTATTAATGCCAATTCCTCCCTTCCCGCCCCAAAAGAAGAAGAAGAAGAAGAAGAAAGAGAAGGACCCAGTAAGCACAAAGAGTCTATAATACTTAATAATGTAGTACTTAATAGAAGAATTTAGAAATGGCAAAGAGAAGTGGGTGGGGGAATGGGATTGCTGTTGAGCTATAGTTTTTTTGAGTCCTCCTTCATTCTTCATTCATTCCGGTCTCTGCTGCAAGAGTTAACAGTTGAGCTGTTATGTACTAAACCTACTACTTTTAATGTGAAATTATCGATCAATTCAATCTACTCTTTTTTTTTTTTTTTTTTTTTTTTGACGAAACGATAAGATCAATTCAATCTACTCCTCTCCCCTACTTTACTCTTTTTTATGTGTCGCGTTTGGTTGTTTGTGGACTCGCTCAGCTGCTCCCTCACTGGTCCGTAGTCCGAAAACGCTCTTTAGGGACTACTGCTCCTCCAGACACTTGCAACAACTGAGGAGCAGTAAGTAATATTACCGTCGTCGCAATCTTCTTAAACTTCATCTTCTATGGCCAGCATTATTTGGGCCAATTGCAGCATTTTGCCAACGGAAATTATCAATCCTTAACTTTTCTCTTTTTGGTTAACTTCACAATTTCATGCTTCATCCCCCGTTTTATTTTTAAATGCAAGTGCAAGCATTTTACACAGCACTCACATTTTCTTCTGCAGCGAATCGCTCGATTCATTCCTTCTCTTTCTTTATCTCGCGACATACTCGAACCACTCCACTCATTTCTCGTTCCTTCATGGTTCATCCCATCCTTCTGGGATTCTTTGCCCAACTTTGTCTTTCTTTTCTCGTTTTCTTCATTATTACTTGTGACAATTACTTTTTTGGTTCATTTACTAGTAAAATTACCAATTCAAACTTATCCCCGAAAAAGAGAAATTTACCAATTCTAGTTCCACGTCATTTGTTCTAATTCTGGTACCATATCACACGTGTTAGAAAGATAACTCCCGTTTTTGTTCTACTTGTTTGTTATCTAATAACGTCTAACCCCCATATTTCATTCATTGTTTGGATAGTTTCTTTTTCGTAATAAAAGCCTCAAATATCTAAAACCAAAATAAATAAATAAATAAATCAACGGTGATCACACTATAAAAAAACTCTAAAATTATTACCCACACTCTCAATTGCATATGTGGACAAAATTCACAGTTTAGCAGAAAATGTAACACTTTAGATCCGTTCTTTTATCCTGGCTCCTTAGAGGCAGAGGATAAAAGATTACACCCCATTATTGGCTGTCATGCGCCTGCAGAATTATCAATGGTATTAATTAAGGCCACAACTTGATCGCCACCCAAGGTGACTATGTCACAAATTTGACAAAATTTCGCCGGTATTATTCTAACAATTCAATAATGACGCAGGTAACCGAATTCCATTTGCGACTTAAAGCCGATACACGGGAAAGGAAAATCCACATCCAAAGTTTATAGCAAAACTTGAACATTACCCAAAATCCAGCTCAATTCACCCGTCCAAGGACAACATGTAGTGTACCATCAAATGAAGCGAAGGGTAAAAAAAAAAGATAAAAAGGAAGAAGAGGAGGAGCAACTTAGAGCCTAATCCACATGCTCTCCATCTCTCTCCAACGAGCCATGTAGAGCAGGAAGAGAGATCCAACAGAGTGCCAATTCTTGAATATCTTCTGCTGACACCAAACATTTGCCGCTGGCATCTATTTATGTACAAGTTAGTCTACAATGCAGGATGATACCCCATACTGGCATTTGCTTCCACCCTGTGCACTACTCTTCTTAAGCTCCATTCGTTGCAGAACTCGAATGCAAGCCGAAGAGCAGTTCCTAGCCCCAAAACAACGATTACTCCTGCAAATTTTGCTTTCAAGCTTGTGTTCAGTTTACAAGGTGGTGATTGCACAAGTCCTATTTGCAGAAATTCATAAAATCCATTATTATCCATAAAGGAACCATACCAATAATAATATTTACAGGGAGTGCTGAGACACCGAGGGTGATTGATATAAGCACATCCAACAGAAGACCGCCAATCAGAATTGAGAAAGCCACCCAAAGAGGACCAAAACAACCCTAAAATATAGCAATTCCAGGGCATCGAAAACATTAAACATGTGTGTGTGATGACTTCCATTCTGTAGAAATTTTGTCTACTTTAGCCTCACCCTTTCACGGCCTTGTCCAATACGTCTTCCTCTATGAGCAGCCTACTCTCCATACCCAATAACTTGCCTGTCACAAACACAAACTATTTAACTAATATAAAGCCTTTCAAGACAACTATTGAGTTGATACATAAACCAAATACGTGTCATTTTCCAACTGTTTGGAAATAGAATTTTAAATACATAAACCAAAAAAGTTAGACTAATCTAACACAAATACGTGTCATTTTCCCTCAAATATTTAAACTCTTCAATTACTTTTGCCAGTGATGCTTTATTCAAGTTACAATAATCCACCTTCAGCTCTCCTGACTACGGAGAGACAGTCGAGGTGTTAAAAAAGTTCAGCAAACCATTTGCACCTCTGCAGGCTGAGTTAAATAACACTTTCAATTTGTCAGTTTCTTTAAGCTTTTCAAAAAAAACCAACAAGGTATGGAACTCTTGCTTTAAATATTTCAGCAACTATTGAAATGATTCCAGCTGCATGGATCTCAATTTTCACGAGTCTTTTAAGTTGGTTCAATGAACATCTATTCTATCAATTATTTTCCTCTCTTTCTGTTGCCTTCTTTAATCAAAATTGTTGAGCAAAATAGCCAAGACTTAAATGTAACTTGGGAACTTTGGAGGTTGAAGTTTTTTTTTTTTTTTTGGGGGGGGGGGGGGGGAGGGGGGTGTGTGGGGGTTTTGGGGAAAGATCGATCCTCTACATTTTTTGGAAGTAAAACACGATTTGAGCTACAAGAAATTGACTCTGGAAGGTATTTAAGTTGTTTTTTCCATCTCAAAGGTTTACAACCTAGACATCCTAAAGAGACTAGAAGTTAAAGCTCACAACAATGTTGAACAGCAATTTCTTCTCTCCAACATAATCTATGCCCACTCTGCATGGTCTGATTCAAATCACCATAACTTATAATTTATAAGACATTGAGTTCAAAAGCAGAAGGCATCAGTCTTATACGACAACTGCCTGGCCATAACCAAATCATTTTCAATCCCAGTTTCCTTGAATGCACTACTCAACACACTCATAGAAAAAACCCACATCACAGGACCAGAATGAAGCGTGTTATTAAGTATACAAACAGTCAAAAGGGAATCTGCTTTTTGCATTTTAATAAAATATAAAAGGCACCTACACTTGGCTGGGATTCTGGAACTGCAACATTTCCAGCTACTTGCCTACAGATTAAAATGCCAGAACACATTAGGCTAATATACATCAAAAGCTACGGAATGGAAGTTGTATGCAATAGCTTACTGGCAAATCTCGCATCTGTTTGATCCTCTACTGCTAAACCAGGTGTTTATGCAGGATTCATGTGCTTTTGCAAGTCCACCTCGACAGTGGCATCCTAAGTCTATCAAAGTGTCGTCCTTCTCCTGCTGACATACTCTGCATATAGCCAAAAAGTCAACAAGGTTCCAGAGTTTAAATACCTTTTTAATACTTGCTATAATTCTTCCATAAAGCTTACAAAATATATAGAAAAGAAATTCATCCCAGGTAATTCTAGAAATTATGCCATGCATAATTCTGATATAGACAGAAGTAAACACTTTTAAATAGTGGAAAACTTCATAACTGGACCCTCAAAGCTCAACCACAAGGCTACCAGCCATGCTATTGATTCCCTTCCAAATCTTTTGAAGTAAAGCATTTTTGTAATGCAATTAGGCACAGTTCATTTAACGTGAGTTATTCCCACCAACCTACATCGCAGATTATCTGATGTCTACCCAACAGAGTTACCAGCAGTTCCCACACCATCCTTAACCCAAAGCTAAGTATAAGGTGGACGAGGAGGAACACAAAATGAAACAAACAAACATGAAAGGAGTCTCCATCAGGTTAAACATAATTTCACAACTGGCGAGTATCTTCAAGTCCTGTTATGTTGTCAGGTGAGGGAAGAATCAGAAAATTTTTGTGACAAAGGTACTAATCTAAAATGATCACCCAGATGCCTAGAATATCACACTGGATATGGGAAGAGAATAGTCATCTCGAGAAAGCAGATGGGACATTGAGTATGTCCAAAACAGAATGTTAATATGGCCGGTAATAAATTGCCCTGAAAGTAGTAGTTACGCATGCATATCAGGGTTTGAGAGCAAATACGCATGTATATCAGAGCTTGAGAGCAAATAAGCATGTATATCAGGGCTTGAGATCAACTTCTGCTAGAGCATCTTCACTGACTAACCATAACTCCAACAGAAATATACCTTAATGGATCAAAATTATACCACACTTAAATGCTATCTGAAATAAGAACAAATATATTTCAATGCTACTTCTGAAAACTAGAAACTAACTAGGAGTGATTGTAAGTAGGAGGTCCAGGGTTGAAGACCTCCCACTTACCCCAAAAAAAAAAAAACTGAGTTTTATCATGATGCCTGTATGACATGATGTTACAGTTATCTATGCATGCTTGCTTCAAGTATATCAAGTGTGATTAGCCACTTGGTGATTTAATGTTTGCAATTACCTTTGGTGGAGTCCTTCCAGTGACTCTTTATTAATTTGAAACCAGATCGTTCAGAGATTTACTGTTATAATGAGATCTACTGTTCAGAGTACGCTACATCGTTCTTCCTAGCAATGGAAATATCGGCTGTCAGATTATCCACACAAACTCCTTAAAAGTGCTTGCTGAAGTGTGATTAGCCATTTGGTGACTTAATGTTGCAATTACCTTCACTGGAGTCACTACCATTGACTCTTTATTGATTTGAAAATCAGATTACTCGGAACGTTTTTTTCTTTGGATGCATATACGATAACATATCACTGCTCTTCAATTTTGAGGAGTTTGTGAGAATAATTGGGCAATCGATATTTCCACTGCTTCCATTGCTTGGAACCGGAGATAGTGTTCTCAGAACAAATCTGATTTCCAGATTAATAAAGAGTCAATGGAAGTCACTCCACTGAAAGTATTTGCAATATTAAGTCACCAAATGGCTAATCACACTTCAGCTAGCATTTTTGAGGAGTTTGTATCAATAATCTGGCAATTGATATTTCCATTGCTTGGACCAAGGACATGACAGTAGATCTCATAAAAACAACTTGTAAGCATATAATTAATGTGTCTCTTCTGCTTTTGCATGCGATATAACTATGCACTCTAGATACACATAATTATATACACTACTCAATCCAGAATACAGGGCAACCAAATAGGTATACGCTGTACTTGTATAAAAGCAAATGCATAAGGTCAAACAATTCTGAATCGACTGCGATGAAGCAATAGAAAACATTGTGCAGGAAGCATCAGTCTCGAGACTTTGACAATAAGCTGATAGAATAATTGGCTTTTTATTACATCTATCAATTCGATATAAACTTCAATATCAATGAAATCAAAAGATTCAAGCATAAGTTATGAAACAGCAATAAAAGAATACATTGAGGTGCAGGCAATTGCACTTATAGGTGATTGAGTTGATTTTTTAGTCAACTTTTACCTGCATTGTTCATGAGAACTAGGATCCCTGGATAAGTCAGGCTTCTTAGGAGAGTCCTTACCCAGATAGGCGTTCTGGTTGAGCTCAGTCTCAGGGGCTGGATTTGCAATCCGATCACCGTGCTGATGCAACGACTCAGGATGATGAGAAACCAAAATGGTAAGCGGGTTTCTTCTGGGACGGCTAAATGCTCCGATGAGGCATGGTTTCTTTTTCCATCCAAGCTCTGCTTTTCAACATGACATGAATTACCGGCAGCGTCAGCTCCTAGGGCCACACTAGTTTCTTGTGATCCTGCCTCTGGGTTTGGAACAACATTTTCTTTCATTTATCCCGCAACTGTAGCAGCTAATTTTCACTTCTCCGCGGGGTGTCGAATACAGTAACGAAGGATTATTAAACCATTCAAGTTGTTTCCTCTCTGTAACTAGGAATAGGATTATAATTTTACAATCGGCAGTGAGCAAATCCTTTGCAATCCCCTCTCCCCACTCCTCCACCCCGCCTCCCAAGAAACCCAAAAAAAAAGGCCCAAAATAAATTGTCGACTCAATGAAGAAACAAAGTTACCAAATACAAACCCCAAGAAAACAAAAAAACAGGTAAAAGTTTACGAGTGGTAAAGTACTACTTAGACTTAGGAGGGAGGTGAAGAAACCCCAATATACAAAATTAAATCTTGAACAACCAACGAAGAGAATAGTTACTACTTACTACTAATCTCTTCCTCCAAAATTTAACGATCAGCAGCTCATCTGCAAACACATCGCAGGCAACAAAATCTTAAGTACGATTTCGAATTTGCAATTACGATAAATAAAACAAATATGAAAATGGCAAGGAGGAACAAGATAGATCCAACCGACTGGTTTGGTCCCTTTGGTTAAAGGAAGAAAAGAAAACGAACAACCGAAAAGGTTTGATGAGAGTTAGTTGAATCCAGCAAGAAACTAAGGCCTTGTTTGGATTGCTTGTTTCCGTCGAAAAATATTGTCGTTTTCCGTGATCACATTTCCCTATCACCTTTTTCCCTCACATATATCAAATCGTTACAGTAATTTTTCCATGAAAAATGACGAAAATACAATCCAAACACAACCTAAAGAAAGACGAGACAGTGAGACGCGAGTCACGCGACCCTCGGCCGTCGACCTATTTCATTTACTTGCATCAAGTAGCATCATGTACAAAATCATGCAAATTTTGAATTTAAAATTCAATTTTTATACACACACGCGCGCACATATATATATATATATATATATATATATATATATTTAGTTAATCTGACGATGATAGTACATATATTTTTATATTATATAAAAAAAATTTTTGGATTACTGTTTATTAGCTTTCATCTGCTCTCCTTAGGAGTATTTTGGTCTTTCCAATATGACAAAAAGGTGAAATTTATGGCTTCTGAATTTCTGATATTGACTTTGCATTTTCTTTCTCTATAATGCCCTTGGTGGTCCGGTTTTACCCATAAATTTGGAGATTGTGTGTTCGTTTATTAATGTTTGGTTAGGCTTTCTTGTAATTTTAATCATGTTTGTGCCTTTTATTGTTCTTTTCCTTAACCTTATCGTGATTACCAAGTAGGGTGGAGATTGAGAAGTCAGAAATGCCCATTTTTTATTTCCTTTCTTCATCATTAATCTCACTCTTCACTTCATCTTCCTTTCAATCATCCTCTAATTTCTCTCATCTTCTTCCTCTTTTCTTTTTTTGGTTTTTTTTTTTGGTTTTTAATTCTGACCAAGAGCAACAACAAAGTAAGACTTTTTTCTTTCTCATCATCAAGACTTCTTTAGCCTTTTCGATTTTTTAGAGGGTTTACCAGTCGAATTTTAACATATAATACGTATATATTTGTGAAGTAAATTTTTTCCCGGTGTAGAAGAAATTACAGTATTACAGGTCTCCTCCGGCCTCAAGAGGGTTAAGGTTAGACTTGCATTTTTCCTTTCTCGACTTCTTTTATATATTTTTTTTCAATTTTTTTCTTGCCTGTTATTTTCGCCATATTTTTTTCAACTTTCTTTAGCCTTTCATTTTCTTTATCATAATAATACATCCAACCAACTCGATATAGAAAATGGCAAGCAAAAGCAGGAGAACGGAAAAGCCAGTGGTCCAAGCAGAAAAGATGTTTTTTTCCCCCTTTAATAACCAGTTTCTAAATTTTTCCTTGAATTCTTTCCTTGCCATCTTTTAAAAAAAAAATAAATATCTTTCTATGTATATTGGTTGTCTGGATTTATTTTTGGATGTGTACTTGAAAATTTAGATATATGTTCCCTTCAAGTGCAATCTTGAATTTTTTTTGTACATGATTGTCTTTGTTTTCTTTTTTATCGTTAGTATTTCTATGTACATTATAGTTTACTCCTGTTTTAGGTTTCGTCCGAGCATGACAAGTTTCATGAGACCTATGTTCTCGACAGAGACGTAAGCCTTCTTTTCTTTCCCTATGTTTTTTAAACCACTTTACAAATTAGTAATTTCGTTGTATAGTTATTTGTATAAAATTTCCTCTTTGAACTCTTATTATTTTACTCGATTGAATTTCATGAGACAATAAATTTTTTTTTTTTGCTCATTATCTTTTAAGGATGCAACAATTTAGGAGTTCCATACTTACTAAGATTGAGGGTAATAGGTTGTGACTTTAGTATTTACGTTCACTTGTAGGCTTCCTATTATTGGAATTTGTAAATTTTTTTTATGATAATCTTAGGAATTGATCAAGATTTGCAAATTAATTTTTCAAAGCTATCTTTGGGGGAAAAAAATAGGTCAATGGCATATGATTTAAGTTCAAGATTCTAGTTTGTGGTCCAAAGAGCACGACCAGTTGCCGTTGAAGCAGCTGTTGGAAGATTTATTGCCTTGCAGTAATTTTTCAAATCATTTCCAGATTTCGATCTGGAAGTGACGCACCAATGATTTACTTGCATAAGCCTCTTAATTTTTTCTCAATTGTTGGTTTTGGTTTTAATTTCAAAATTCTTTGTTTTGACAGACCATCGATTTCCTATTCAGGATTACAGTATGGTGGTGCTTTTCTCTGTTTTCATGTATGTTGTATTCTCTGCAGTTCTCTTCTACTTCATCATCAGTTTTACTGTAATTGGTCTTGCTCCTGAATTTTTTTTTTTTTGGGTTTTTATGTTTTACAGGTCATAGATTCTATAACATATTGTTCATATTTTAGGTTTAAATAGTTTGGTTGAAGATTTGCGTGTATTTCATTTACATTGCCTTGCATTAAAGCTCTTGCCTTTGTTGTCTTTTGGCAGATAGCTTTCTAATTTAGTTCCAGGTTGCTTATTTGTTTTAATCTTTCCCATGTATGGAATGTTTTACAAAAAAATATTATGAAATTAGGTTCTCTTGTACCACTAAGTTGCCTTTGCATTAAACTTACTCTTTGATTTTGCTTTTCAGGACCAGCTGGTTATTCAATGTTGAAAGATTGCATAGGGTTCATATAGAGTGATCAATTTTTGAGATAACCTCTTTTTGATCTGTCTCCACTGTTTAATTATCTACTTTTTATGTTTTTCATGTTTTGATTTTCCTCAATTCTTCTATTCCTGACACACCTACTCTTAATGAATAAGTTACTTACGATGGCTTTTTTCACATGTTTCCAAAAATTGACTGTCTTATAGGCTTAGGTGGTTAGATGAAAAGTTTGAGCTTTTAGAGGGTAAGCAAGACAAATGTTCCATGACCTTAGATCACTATTATTTTTTACAGTGAACATTATAGATTTGTATATTGTGTTCTTGAATCAATTATGAAATCATGACCCCAGTTTCAATGGTAATTTTGTCCATAGCCCTTGGTTAATTGGGTTTTTTACAAACATTATGTGGATTGATGGTGTGTTCTCTGCACTGAATTGTGATATGTTATTTTCGAAAGACTGAGGCTATCCTTTATGGTTGGTTGTGTTTTCCTGTGAATTGAGTGGATTACGTAGGTTTTTTCATTAGTACTTACTGCTGCCTGCATGTATCTGTTGTACATTGTACAAAAGTTTTTGTGAGGCTTGATTGTTTGCCTAGACAGGCATTATTACGATGTATTAGGGATGATGACAGCCTAATTTTTCGTTTGACAAATGTTTAATCTGTAAGCATTTAAGTGATTGTTTATGCAACAAGTCATATGCTTTTTCCTTTGGAAATGAGCAGTCCACCATTTGAAACCCCTCCATAAACAATAACCACTATGAATATCCCTTGAGAAGTTTTACATTTACCCAAAAAAAAAAAAAAACACAAAAGCAAAAGAAAGAGGAGATGTTCCATGAACTATTGCCTCTGTTTCTTTTTCTTTGATTCATTCTTCAATTGTTAAATGTCAACTGTTGCTATGTATTCATTTGTCTATGTTTCTATTTTGATGGATTTTGAGGTTTTCTAGGCAGATTAGAGTCTTATTGATTCTTAGTATATATGCTGAAGAATGCTTCTTCTGAAGTTCTTGTGTTGTGATATTATAATTCTATACCCATTTTTTTTGTTGTGGTTTACTTGACATTTCTTATTTGCTCACTCCAATACTTAAATTTCTATACTATATGCAGGTTATAAAGACAGCTAGAGCATCTAAGATATCCTTTTCCATTTCAAGCCTTTTCAATTTCAACATTTATTAAGGAATCCTCAATTTGTTGCTTTATTACTTCTTTTTTAAGGGATTCAGAATAACTCTTGGTCTCATTACTATCTGTAGAGTTCTGTTTTTTGTGAAACTGGTTTTTTTGTTTTCATTTGTATGGCATCTTTAATTGAATTACACATGAAGTATAGAGAAATTCAACTAGCAAGAAAATAAGAGGTTTTTAGAAAATGTCAAAAATGGGTCAAATTTTGGAAAATTATATATGTGATGAATATCATTTTTAAGTTGTTAAGCTTAAAACGACTTATAAATCTCAACTTATTCAACCTTTGTTGTAAATCTCACTCACTCTTAAAATATGTATTTGCTAAGTTATCTACATTTGCAAAACACAGCTTTGTCCTATGTTTAGAATTCTTTTTCTGCAAGAGAACACACCATCTCACTCACAGCTTTGTCCTATGTTTAGTATTACAAACACATCAAGACAAACTGCAAATGAAACTTCGAAAACAAATTGACTTGAATTTTATCCTATCTTTAGAATTCTTTTTCTGTGGTTCATATGCTCAGCAATTAAATGCTTGCATATCGTATAAGCAAGTGCAAGTTTTACTATAATCCCAAAATGTGTCATTTTCTTTTGGATCGACTTTCCTTTGTTTTCTAATAAATCTAACGCATTCTTTCTTCTTTTGGCTATCTACATTGAATTCTTCTAATGTTACAATTGCAAAGCTTCATAGACATGTTAAGAACAATAATTTCATTATTTTTTGTTGTCATTTCTCCATTTTTTGTTCTGTGTTACTTATAGTTTACCATATGTGCATCTTCAGCATTCTATTTTTCAGCGATTCTTATAGTTTTACTTATAGTTTTTTGGGGACTCTAAAAGAAATCTCAACATTTCTTTGTTTGACTCTTCAATACATGAGCAAGTTTATATTACTTTCAATAATTATATCCGTGTCTTACCTGCTTAAAACCCATACTTCTTCACTATGAATTTGATTTGCTTCTGTTTATCTTCTTTAGGTTCTTCTTCAAAACTGCAATGTCTCCATCAAGCCTTGCAATCCAATACACTACAAAATTCATGTTCGTTTGCCTAACTATATAACACTTTTTCTATCTTCTAAGTGTCCTTATTTACTAACTACTCTTATCCAGCAGGTTAATCTCCAATCTGCCAGCAATTGTATATAATTATCTTTCAGATGCAATACAAATATACCAGGTTTGCATGAAAACATTTATTGTTGGTGCTGTTAGCAATGTTACTTTAGCAATTGTTTTAAAATATTGCCTCAAATGCATTCATTTGTACTCTTATAGAATTGCTGTCGCCTTCTTTGAATGATGTGAGACAACAAATTGTGAATGACAGTGATATTTCCATTAAAGGTTTATTATACACCTATTATGAGTTTCTATTATATTGCCTCTTTGCATTAATAAGTCCTTTTAACTGATCTCATTTATCTTATAGCTATATGTAGTTCTGTATGAATAACTTTCTTTAGCCAAAGGATATCATTCAGAGAAAATATTCGCTATAGAATCAACTGCAGTACCTCCATCTTTGTATTTAGTACACATTGCTTTTGCGTGCTAACCAAGCATCTTTTTTAATCAATACTTAGCTGCTCTTATCAACTAATATATACTGCTTTTGCATGGCTGGGAACCTTACTAACAGGTCTAAAGGCGGGGAAGCAGACCCTAGCTAGTTGTGTATATAAATGTACCCTATCCTATATTATTGCTAGTAATAAGTAATAGTACTACTTTATTACTACTAAATTTAAACTATTTTTTTATTCACCCAAAAGCATTTTTCTTAACTAAGCAATGGCAATTGATATTGACATTCTTATTACTATTTTTGCCTTCTCTTTAACAGCTAAATACTATACAAATTCTTGCCAATAATTTTATCTCATTGCTGTCTTTGCACTTGAGCCAAAATTTATGGATAATGTCTTACCAATGGCAAAAGGACAAGGGCTATGGATAGGAATAATTTATTGGTTGGCATCCTCAGTGTGTTTGAACAACTCATTTTCGGGGAGAAAATGTTTTTATTACATTATAAGCACTTTTCCTTCTTTTTTTAAATATCTTTTTTCTTATCTCAAATGCATCACGCCATGTTACAATAATATATCATTCTAAATAATTGTCCAAAACAATTATTTCAATTCAAACATCTATTCTATACCGTGTGTGAGCCATATGTAAGGTAGAGACGCAATTTATGTCAAATATAGCCAATTCTAAAAAAACTCTATCCCCTCATCCCACTGTGCCCCGCTCAACCTTGTCGAATTTAAGACTAATTCTTAAGTTATTTTTAAATTTTCTTCCTCAATTTTGAAGAAAAAAAATACATTTTCCTTTGATATTTAGAAAGTCTTGTGCTCTTTAATATGATCTACCTTAACAACAAATTTTTTTTATACGTTTCCCTGTAGTACAATTATTCTAAAGCTATTAAAACGCAAGCTAAGTATTATTGAATGAGAAATGACTTTATAACATTTACAACCACAAAAAAAACCTCGTATTGAAATCATAATTTCAATTATATTCTCTTTGCACAATAATGACCTCATTTTGTGAGCGTATTAGTAGCGTGTGGCAAGCTTCAGTCATCCCAACAGGGCCAAATTTTAGGTTCAGCAGCAGCTATAGAATTAAGGGAATGGATCGTTTAGACGGGAAATTTGTTTCTTTCAATGGTTAGTGCAGCATACTATACTTGGTAGTTCGGAACAACTTAAAGTGATCCGTAAGCTGAATGAGGGGCAAGATTAATGCGAGACACTGGAAATTCCAAGTGACATGAATCAGCCATGTCTCAGAAGTTCTGAAATTTGGGTCAACTTAGAGCCAATATCTGATTGAAGAAGAACCGCGAAGACCACATCATTGTTCCTACAAACAGGGCTACACAACCAATGGTCCATCCTTCTCTTCTTTTAGCTGGGGACGATAACGATGAGCTTAGCTTGCCAACCATAGTGTCGGCAGCCCATATTGTTTGGATGCAAGAGGTGAGTCACAGTCACGATGGCAACCCTAAACCACCGCTTTCTAATTGCCCGAGAAGTATATTACTAATAGTGAATGCAACATTAATGGCTGTCTTTACAACAAAAGGATATGATTTTGCGCGGCTCGTCTTCATCAGCATCATCGTCTCCTATGGCTAAATGGCTAAGAGCTATAAGAGCTATAAGCGCTATAAGAGCTATATGGCTATGGGTGGGTGGTTGTTATTCTGTCATCCTGATTTTTATTTGAAGGCGCTGCTTGCTTGCCACAAGGATCGATGCTTTTTTCAAAAAAAAGATCGATACTTAGAAGCAGTTTTTGCGTTTTATTATGATGGCTTTACGGGTTAAGAACATAATAATGGCCATGCGAAAACAGTAGGACCAAGTATTAATAGGACATGCATCACAGGTCTAATATTCATATACCCATGAATGAAGTTACTGGTTATTCCCCACTTTCCGCTTTTCTTTGAATTATTCTTTCTCCTCACAAATCAATTGGTAGTAATACCACTACCCACCAAATTGAAATTAACTGGAAAGGTTTTTATGCTTCTGATATCAATTGGAGAGTTCGTTTTGTGTATATGCTTCTGACACAGCAATTGCATTGGTGTGAATAATGACGACAAACATCTTTTGTAACATAAAGTTCTTCTTGTCAGGAGGTTCCGTTTAGCCGAAATTATATTCCATTTATTTTTATCATCACGCAAGTCAAGCCGAATTTTTTTTTTTTTGTCTCTTAATGATCTACCTGAGTTTTGCAAATGGGCATCTTCTTTACTTTTGTCTTACTAGTGAGAAGATTTGGTTCTTCTTTCTTTATCAGCACAATTGTTATCATCTAATACTGATAGCCTACTGCTTGGGATTGGATTGGGAGCATGTTACTTAGTTTCACAAGCATGGAAAACGCTAATACAAATTGGTTCAATTGATATTGATAAATTATTTCCTTACTTACAAAAGATCTTGTATTAAAATCTTGAATTACTTCTTTACGATACAAGGTACGTTGGTTGTTTTCAATTGGACTCGTGTAAATTGTGAATGTAGGTCGCATGCAAGCCTCGTCACTGTAGAGGTTTTGCATTCATATATTTCCCTTGGTCAATCTAAACTATATGCAAAGGGAACCAATACCTGATATAGCATGAAACATCCATTGGACATTAGCTATGCAACAAAATGCAATACATTCTAAGGTATCATATATTCATTGCAGAAGAACATTCCAATATCATTGAATAGCCCTTGAGGTATTAGTACCTTTTAATCGGACACAATGGTAGTAGCAAACGACGGCTGATAAAGTGACACAATGGTAGTAGCATAGTCTCTACCTATATGATTGATAAAGAAGTCATAATTGAATTAAGATGTCATCCACTATAGAAAATCCAATCCCTTTTACCGAGTTAATGTATGAACAAAATCCACAAACAAGTAAAGTTAGTAGCCATGAATAGAACCAACCAGGGTTGGCCAAGTGGTAAGCAGCTTGGTTCTACTTAAGCAGGTCTCAAGTTCGAAACCTGGCATACGCAACCACCCTTGTTGGGAGACTCATCCACCACAATCAGGTGTGCGACTCGGGTCGACCAACGGATTAGTCAAGGCAAAACCCTGGATACCGTGACAGGCAACCAAAAAAAAAAAGAATAGATAGATCATTAAAGTTCACTTGAAAAGCTTAATGCGACACGTTAGCACACAAAAAATTGCGCGCACACAACGTAGAGGTGCCAACGGGTTTGGTTTAAACCCGGATCTAACCTGAATTCGATAAATTTTTTTGAATTTGGATTCAAAAATAATTCTAATACCCAAACCTGAATCCGAACCCGTTTACTCTAACAAAAACGGGTCGGATACGGAATATAGGATTCTGTCCCGTATTCGACTCGGATCCAAATAATATATTAATTATTATAAAATATAAATATTTCTAAATATAGTATTTTACTAAATTAACAATTTAGTAATGACTTTGTAGATTGATTTGTGGTTAGTTTTAGTTTGACTACTGTGAGTTATTTGTGATTTAACTTTGTAATTTGACTTGTCTAAGTTTGAAATTTGAATTTGTGATTGATTTTGAATTTAATTTTAAAATATTTAAAATTTGGACCTTTTAGACCCGGACCCAATTTCGAGACTCTAAAATCAGGACTCGTCAAATATACGGGTCGGGTTCAGATCTACTACATAAAAACAGGTCCAGGTCCGAAATTTTTAATTTCGACTCGAATCCGACCTGTTGACACCTTAGTAGAGCGGACGCAATTTCAACATATATAAAAAATATAGGAAGAAAAAAGATAATAAATACTCAACAAGTTCTCAATAATTTTATTAATCCAAAACTCAAATAACAAATATTAAATCGTAATCTTTCGCTCATGATAACTTACAAATATCAATTATGAAACTTTCTCTCAAACCTAATCTCAAGACTTGACTCAACTCAATTCTTTTATTCAACTCTTCAAATAATAATCTACTAGACAAATAGTATTTATAAACTGCAAAGTTTCCCTAAAATAAATAAAATTATAAACCAAAACTTACTTAAAAACTGATATGAAAACTAGATAAACAAGACACAAAAAAGAATCACTCCCTTTGTCCCACTTTGATAGTTTCATTTCTTTTTTCACATAATTTAAGAAAAAGTAGTTAACTTTATTGGAAAAGTAAATTTAGATTGCTATTTTCCTAAAATACCCTCACATTAAATATAGTACAATTTTATGGGAACTTGAATTGATGGTAAAAAAAGAATCAACTCTCGTTAAATGGGTAGGTTTATAGTAACAACAACTTACATTGAATAAGGGTATTTTAGAAAAATTAAAATACAACTACATTCTTCAATTGGAAAGTGGACTACAATTTGGGACAGACGAAAAAGGAGAACGAGACTATCAAAGTGGGACGGAGGAGTATAAATCTAACACTAAAATAACTTAGTTTAATTTTCTTTATTGCCTCTCTTAAACCAAACTTTTGATACTGCCATCTCCAATACCATCACAAACTTGAATCTCCATAAAAAACTCCGTCGCTGTATAGATGACATGGAATTCTAACTTATAATTGATCTCTAATTTCATTTTCACTTACGGTATTGGACGAAACTTGTATTTTCCGAACAATTTCTTGGTTTGATTACTCTTGTCAAAAAAATTCAAATATACGCACCAATTCTTCATCCAATACTCCATAATTTAATTCATCCATATCACTAATAAAATTTTCAAAAACCAGAAAATCATAATTTTTATCAATGAGATTTTCAATATCGCCATAATTTTCTTTCAATTTTTAACACTAACAGCTGCATCAACTTTAGCAGTACCACAACTTTCAATTAATTTGTTTACCTGATAATTGATTTCAACTAAGTCTATCATTTGATTTTCCTTTTTAAAAATTTCATCAATCTTGACAAAATAAACAATTTCTACGCTGCTATGATCTTCAGGTATATTTTTAATTTTATCAATGACTTCACATTTTTTCTCAACCACATATGAAATTTTTTCTTGAATCACAAAATTTTCATGTTCAT